CTGTTTTCTGGAATAGGATCCCAACATTTTTCAATAATAATTTAGGAACATTATTTGGTATCGTAGGTCGTACTCCATTATAGATGTCGCATACGAGGTGTCTATCATGACTTCGTTCACCGAATGGTCGTTCACCTGTGGCAACCTCGTACGTTATCATCCCGAAACTATAAATATCTGCAACTTTAGTATATGGTTTTCCATTTAGTACTTCTGGACTCATATAAGGAAGTACTCCGCAAATTTTTTGTTCAGATTTTTCTACATCTGCTGGACCGGTCAGTCCAAAATCAGCAATTTGAGCAGCCTCAAGCTGTATTAATATATTTCCAGGGTGAAAGTCACGATGTACAAATTCCTCTTCGTGAATTTTATTCAACCCTCTGATAATGTAATTTAGATATGCTAATTTTTTATTCGAAGTCAGTGATTCGTAGTTGGAATTCATATATTTGCGTAGATCGCCATCTTTTGCGTAAGTCATCACTATCGAGTATTCATTTGTAGATGAGTTTTTAGTTATTCCATAATATTGCATTACGTAATAAGTGAACTTTAGAGCATTCAGAATCTAATTTTGAAAAAGTTAATTAGATTGAAAAACAAAAAAGCAATATGTTTACACTTAAAAGGTGTTCATTTTACCTCGTTTATAAATTCGGGTGTAATTTGCTTTGAATTGTGTAATGATTTCAACACAACTTCCTGTTCTCCCCGTCGCATAAATTTATTTTCTACATGATCCCATCCCTTATATAGATCCAATGGTCCGTCCAACCAGTTTGCTTTATAAATTAATCCAAAACCTCCTTTTGCAAGATATTTAACATCGATAAATCTTTCAAAAGGGATCCATTCGAAAGACTTAGATTTTTCAATATTATTGTATTCATTTATTAAACTGTCGATATCTTTGTTTCCACTGGACCATTCAGCATAAATTCGTTTGTGATATTCAAAACATTGCTGACAGTTATTTTTTTTAACAATTAGTGCATTTACTACAATCATGAGTACCTATCACTATCGAGTATTCATTTGTAGCTGGGTTTATAGTTATTCCATAAGTAGCAAAACTGCACTTTAGAGCAGTCTGAATCTAATTTTGAAAAAGTCAATTAGATTGAAAAACAAAAAAGTAAATATGCTTATACTTAAAAAGGGTACATTTTACCTCGTTTATAAACTCGGATGTAATTTGCTTTGAATTGTGTAATGACTTCAATACAATATCAGTTTCTCCTCGTCGTTTAAATCTATTCTCTTCATGATCCCATCTCCTATTTCCTATAGTTGAATTTATTGGTCCATCCAACCAGGATGCTTTACAAATTGAACCAAAACCACCTTTTGCAAGGTATTCAACATTGGTAAATCTTTCAAAAGGGATCCATTCGAATACTTCATATTTATTAATATTATTGCATTCATTTATTAGACTGTCGATATCTTTATCTCCGCTGTACCTTTCGATTCGTTTGTGATAATCGAAACATCCTTCACAGTGCTCTTTTTTTTGACAACGAGCACATTCACTACAATCATGAGTATTCATCACTACCGAGTATTCATTTGTAGCTGGGTTTTTAGTTATTCCAAAATATTTTATTTCATCGTCATCAATGCACTGTAGCGCAGTCTGAATCTAAGTTTGAAAAGTTTAATTGTATTAGAAAACATAAAAGCAACTTGATTACATTTTAGAAGTGGTTAATTTTTACCTCATTTCTAAACTCTGATGTAATTTGCTTTGAATCACGTAATGATTTCAACACAACTCGATATTCTCCCCATCGTTTAAATTTATTTTGTTCATGATCCCACTTGTGAATTGGTCCATCCAACCAGGTTGCCTTATAAATTGATCTTGTTGGAAGATATTCAACATTGGTAAATCGTTCAAAAGGGATCCATTGGAAACGCGTGTTGATGGCCGTTAATTCTTTTGTTAGACCGTCGATATCTTTATCCTCCTCGTTAGACCATTCAACTTTATAAAGTTGACAGTGATAATCGATGCATACACGGCAGTAATTCGATTTTTGACACTTGTCACATTTACTACAATCATGATAACCCATCACTATCGAGTATTCATTTGTATCTGGGTTTTTAGTTATTCCATAATATTTAATGGAGCTACAATAATTACACTTTAGAGCAGTCAGAATCTAATTTTGAAAAGTAAAAAGTAATATGTTTACACTTAAAAGGTGTTTATTTACCTCGTTTATAAACTCGGATGCAATTTGCTTTAAATTGTGTAATGATTTCAACAAAACTTGACATTCTCCTCGTCGTTTAAATCTATTCTCTTCATGAACCCACCGATCTAATTTTCCGTCCAACCAGGATGCTTTATAAATTAAATCAAAACCACCTCCTGCAAGATATTCAACATTGGTAAATCTTTCAAAAGGGATCCATTCGAATATTATTACATTGTGATATTTATTAACGTTAAGATTATTGCATTCATTTATTAGACTGTCGATATCTTTATTTCCACTAGACCATTCAACATAAATTCGTTTGAGATATAGAAAACATCCCCAGCAGTGCTCATTTCTTTGACAATCAATACATTTACTACAATCATGAATACTATGAACTGAACACTCATCGCAGTACTTGTAAAAGTAACAATTGCGACAGTTACTATTACAATCATGAATATTGTGAACTGAACTTTGAGATGACATCTTTGAGTTTCTTAGTGATGATGGCAGTGATTTATGTCCAAAACGAAGATTTATATGTGGTGGAGTGGAAGTCGTCGTCGTTCACATGTGTTTGTCAAACGATTGATGCATGAAAAATGATACGACGTACGCCCACAAGATGCATGAAATGAAGAAGAGTAAAAATACCCACCCTCTATATATGGAAACTAAAGCTTTTACATTTTAGAATAAATACGTACTGTTCTACGTATTTCGAGATCTTTTTAGGGATAAGCAGAAACGCCAAATTAATGAGTACGTATAGTACATATGAAAAAGAATGAACAGAGAAATGGCTGAGCATTACCGTTACGTGATACGTATTGAATTTCTAATTGGTTCGCCGCAACCGATACCGAAATGCCTACATACTGTTACCGCCGGCGAACAAAATCTCCAATTCCGGCTTTTCTGGATAAAACGGCGAAAGATGAGCTGTGGATGTCGCCAACGTCGGACGGATGTTTCATCAACATCGCAGATTTCCTAATCCGACATGTTTTTTAGCGTCTACAGCATATTCCATCACGATTATCAACACTGCTGCAGATTTCCCAAACCGATATATTTTTCAGCGTTGCTTCAGCAAATTCCCATCACAATCATCAGCAACACTGCTGTAGATTTTTCAGCAGATTTACGTCACGAATATCAACAAAAGCGATCTCAGCATGACGACATGCTGATAAAAACAACAAGCTTCCCCTTTTGATATACAATATGGAATTGCGCCATTTCCCGCGTTGTTTTACAGCGTCCCCTCATCATTTTTCAGCATCTCATCGTTTTCAGCATCTCCTCAACATTCTTCAGCATGATTCCGTTAGTTTTCGATTCATTCTGCAATCAATTTCTTCTATGGATCATAGAGCGTCCGTCATAAACGTTCTTTTCTTTTTTTACATAGCATAAGTAATGCTTCTTTTCTTTAATAGTAATAGATAGAACGATATATACATGTAATAATACAAAAAAAAATGTATAAAAGAATAGCCTATGGGCTACAGAAAAGAAGAATAAAAAAAAAAGAGAATTCATATTGCGAACAATTATTCTCCAAGCCACTTGTAAAAAGAGAATTCACATTGTGTACAATTGTTCTCCAAGCTAAATTAAACTTGAATTATTGCGTACAATTATTCTCCCTCTAAGTAAATTATCGCTTGTAAAACTCTTCCCCCCATTCCCCACGTTAATCGTGATATCGATTGTCGGTTAGGTCCTTTGCACCAGAAAAGGCATTGTTTTGTGTAGAATCGCATTATTGAAAACCCGTTTTTATTGTGTATCCGTTATACATGTAATAATTTTAAGAGTTTAAGGCTTTTATCGAGAAAAAGCAACGATTGTTAGTAATATTTTTAAGAGTTTAAGGCTTTTATCTATAAAAAGCAATAGTTAAGAAAACCCCTGAACACTCACCTGAAACACATAGTCTCTCCCTTTCCCCCAAAAATCAACTTAAGTCAATGATATCGGTACAGACTTTAGATACCGAATAAACATCAATCAGTCTAGTAACGGTAATCTCTCCCAAAGACAGGTTGCGTTAGAAATCCCTCAAATCGTCCCAATTTAAAATAATCGCAACAATACGTACATACATGCGTACACGCATAGCGATCGACTGTAAACAAATTTATCAGCCCAAGTCGATTAGTCGACTTCTTGTGTAAAATTCTATATTTAGTAATATCTAAAGCAGCACGCGCGTAATTATAATCTGTGCTCGGTTCCAATAAATTTTTAATCAGCTCGGCGAACAAATCTGATACAAAAAATGAAAAATGTAAAAAATACGGGAAACAGATGTCTAAATTTAACTTGGAGTTCTAATAAAAAATGTCGGGGAAGCAATTTTACATATAACTTTGTTCTCCACTCTAACCCTTACCCTAACCCAAACGATAAAATTGACCATTAATAGTTGCCAGAACACATGATTTGCGAACCGAGCACAGATAATAATGACGCAAGCAGCACTAAAAATTGGCCAGTCAATTTTTCGACCGAAAATTATAAATTTAATAACTGCGCGCGCTTTCTTTCTACATAAATTAGCTTCCTTTTTTAATATGTCGCACTAAAAATCAGCTGAGCCGATTTTTTCAAAATCAACAGACCGAAAAATCAACTTTGGCTGATTTTTTGATTATCAGCCAGAATCACTACTGACGCATTTATGAATTAACTCTTTAAATCGAAAATTTCACACTTTATTTAAAAACATGTTTCATTTTCTATGCTTACAAATTACATAATAATTGAATAAACTATTTATTCTTTATTCTGACATGAATGCCCATCATGACATCTACTACCACACTTACCACCACTTTTTTTACAGCAGCATCTGTTATTATTACAATCACTTTTACAGCTACAAATTGCGCATGATGGACCTACACTTTGGAGCCGTGCTGCTTCTCTGATTGATATTTTACTAGATGGTATAATATGGAAAGTTAGTAGTGCCCAAAGGTTCAAGTTCACCAGCGCAATAAAAAATGTCAATAATGCCAAATTTCGATCCCAACTGAAATTTATTATTTTCGGTCTTATCTAATATTTTGCATGGAAGAGTTGGCCGATCAACACTAAATCTATCAATTTTGGGATGGTTACTCTTACTAGATCACCAGTTTCGTATTTCAGTAACCTTTTTTTGCCTTTAAACATTTGATTGACCATTTTTTCAGTATAAGCCTCGAGACTTTGACGAGGCTTTCAGAATTTTGTATCTTTTTCGTATCAGGTATATTTTCTTCATCACGAATATTTTTTAAAAATAATTCATTAATTAACATGCAACTTCCATGAGGTTTATCACCATACACCAGCTCATATGGGGTTTTGTTATGAGAATGACAATAACTATTATTCATAGATGATATGACAAATCGAATTCCAAATGACCAATCACTTTGTCCAGTATTTTCTTTCCACTTGCCTAGCTTTTGTTGAAGAATTCCGTTAACATGCTCAACTAAACCTTGGGATTGTGGGTGACATGATCATCCATTGATTATTTTTACCGATGGCCACATTTGTATAAGTTCTGTAATTACTGATGCACAAAATTCTTTGCCATTATCTGATTATAATATAGTCAGAGGTGAACTCAAAGAATGAAATAGATCGAATAAATATGTTGCAACTTCCACAGCTCTTTTAGATGTAAGTGGCTTAGCCCAGGAGAAACGACTAAAATGATCTCTAATATGACAAATATATTTATAATCACCATCAGCATTAAAGGATAAGTCGATTAAATTCATCTTATAATTAATAATAAATTTATTAATCATGATATTTTAAATAAAACAGTATTAATAATATTAACTTATTTACCTGTAATCGAGATAAAAAATTCTGTGCAATAATAGGTTTCGCTGCTAATGGATGAAATGATGACTTTCGTACAGCACATATTGTACAATTATTAATGAATTTTTCAACAATTTCTTGCCTGATCCATCCCCATTTTCCTGGATCGATTTTCATAATTGCTTTTGCCCACCATGTTGGTTGATTTCAGAGTGAGTTTTACATAGCACTTCATATATCCTTTCAACAATTAAAACTTTAGTATTATCTTTCTTTACTATTACTTTAAAGTCACCAGGAATTACTTCTTCAAGATAAAATCTCTTTTTCGTCCAGTCTTGGGTATTCTTATCAATGGTATCGACATTAGGGGAATTTTGAAGAATTAATTTTATTTTATTTAGAAGCTCCAGATTTACTAATGCTTTGTCTTGTTTGCTTTCAGGTAGGCCATTACATATTGATCAATAATATTATCAAATGTTTTTCGATTAATAAATTCGAATTTCATAGCATAAAAAAGATTGAAAGGTATGAATAATGAAGAATTGAAGGTATAAGTAATGGAAAATGATAAGACGTGTGTTTTTGATTAGTATTAATTTATTTCTTTTTTTTGTGTTTCCAAGATTACGTGACTATCATAAGCATAGGTAAGTTAAACTTTTGGGCAAAGGATATTTCATACAAATATATCAATTATCATTATAATGATATTTAATAAAATCAAATTAAATATAAAAATTTATTATAGTAATTCGTCTTTTCACCATCTGCCCCTATTACATACACTCTCCTTACTAACTTGAATCACTAAAGTCACTAATTCTTTTCGTTTGTTAGTAATAACTACTCCACGTGTCCCATGAATTACACGCGAGTTACCCACATTAAGTTCGCGACTTTGGTTTCTGTGCAAGACCACATGAACTATGAAATTTAACATTTCAATACCACGTGTCAATATACAAAGCCATTATTAAAATGCGTCAGATTACAGCTGACGCGCCTCAGATAATCTGAGGCACGATTGATATCTGAGGCACAACATATACACGATTTATGCATTAATCGATTTTGTCTTTAAAATCAATTCTCAAATTTTAATCGATTCTCAAATATTAATCGATTCCTATCCCTATTTCAGATATGACAGAAATATATGACCATGTCGTTCAATGATTTCTTGAATTAAAGGTTTCTGAGTGGCAAAATCTGGTTCAAATAAGAGAATACGGCTTGTACAACGGTTATCAGCTTCTGATGTGTGTTTTTGACAATTATTACATTTGAGACGAAGACCCTTAATTCACAAATCACGTTCTTCGAGTGCAATTTTGATTCCTTTTTGTCTGCCATCAAGTAAAATCATAGATTGAATAGTACCATTATGCATTTGACTATTACGAAGTCTAGCTTGTGCTCCACTGGAATTAAGATTCATTTTATTTACGCACAAGGCATCTTCAGCATATTACTTGAGTTGTCGAATAAGAAGATTGGTTTGTGACCAAGCTGTGTTTTTCGAAAATAGGAATTGCTCATCTCTCGAGTTGTTCAACAACATTTTTGACTGTCTACCATCCATCTTTATTTTTCCAACCTCTATAATGACACATGCCTCTGTAAATTCAAGTTTATCAGCATGACCATCTGGTAATACATTATTCAAATATTTTTCTTCATTATTAAGCATCAAACGTCCACGTGTTTCACAAAGAAACTCAAAAATCATTATCGATGAGCCTCGTCCCTTTGGTCTCAAATCGTAATCACCAACAGGTGCCCAATAACTTTGTTTACCATTATTGGCATAAAAAGTAGCTTCAGCATGCGTTATAATGATATGTAATGGGGTATTAATTGTTAGTTCAGGATCAATTCTGATCTCTATTTCATCACCTTTAAATGACGAACACAGTTGACAATAATGTTCTATATCAGCAATAAACTGTGAACTATGTCAATTCGCTCATGATCATCAAAATATAATCCTTTTTCATATTTCTTGTATTGATATCCCATGTTTTTAACCAATTTAGAACTACGTAATTCGTAATTGTTTGCTTGCCTTCATAACCTATTGAGGGTAACGGTAATATTTCAGTATTAACAAAATTTGCTATATCGCAATATCATAGAACTTTGGATTGTGTATCCTCATCATTGAGTACACTTGAGATCACTTGTTTCAATTGCTTGTAATAATTGATATACATAGCATTTTTAAGGTTGTCATTTGAAAATATTCAGTTATTTGTTTTGAATCTTTAGTCATATACTTTAATTGTGCTTTTTTATGAAACACTGGTACTTTTAGAATTACCAATATATCGTAAAGGTCGCTTTGCACTATTATTAGCTGGAGATAACTTAACATTTTGTGCTAAAATAATAAAGGCATTTTGCCGTAATTCTTTTGTGAGTTCTACATTTTCCCAATCTTCTTCAAAGTTATTTAAAGAGTCTATTCCATTAACATTATTGACGAGTATATAATCACTGTATTGCTCGTGCAGCTTTCAACATTTTTTTGGATATTCTGATCACATGTTATGTATTTGTTTAAATTCTATTGGTTAGATCAGCAAAAAAATTGGCAGTAATTCACGTGATTTTTGATTATAGAGTTCCAGCACTATATAGAAAAGAATTGATTTATATATATAAAAAAATCAAAATGTTCATAATAATCGAAGCACATGACCATCCGAAAATATGGAACCTAAAACTTAACATTTATTTTCAAAAGAAGTAAAATATCACGATTTTTCTTTCCGGGATTAAAAATGAATTTCCAGTATTGCTTCAAAGAGTTTGAGATTCAAGCGTCAGTCATTAAATTTCCTGCATCAATTTATACTTACAATTTGATACATGAGTTGTAATCAAGTTTTACCGGTTCTCTAACGATTAACCGTTGTTTAACCCCGGTTGAACGGGTCGTATCACTACACAGAACGTCACAAGGCAAAAATGTTGATGTACTGTTTGTTCCTCCATATTAGAGGCGCAGACATTAGAAATGAAATAACTTAATTCATGCCGTAACTAAATGTCTGCACCTTTACTCCATATCACAATTTCAATTCGTCGCAATTACTATAGTAATGAAACGTTCAACAATCTCAATCTGCAATTTTGCATGCAACTTTCTCCCATTGATGATACATGTAATGTGGATTTACCTTTTATTGACTAACGTTAACTTAATGACACAAAATCTTGCTATTGATCAAAAATAGCTGTACTCCGAGCACAACAATTAGTGTTGGGTAACAAATTTAAGATTTGCAAACTATTGCAACACGAATTTTAAATATAAAAAATTAAAGATAACTTTATCGTATATGTTTGTGTATCGATATGATTTTTGAATTGACACTTTTTGATATAAGCTAATAGCATATAATTTATAAAGCCAGCCAGTATTCAGTGAATTCAGCTGGCGTTAAGACAATGCGATAATATTAGAAAAATGGTCAGCATTTTTAATTTTTATCTTAATGTTCACTACACAGTAACTCTCTTTATGGTGTATCAAAAAAAATCTATTAGTAAAAAATTTTCAAAAATCCACTATATCGAGAGTTTTTGAAAATTTATTAATAAATCTACTATATCGGTTTTTGAATATTATCAACTATAACGAGAGTTTAATTAGTCTCCATTATAAAGGGGTACACTATAAAGAGTCATTGTATTTATTGGTACCAGATTTAGAAATGTTACAAAAGTAATATTTCCAATTCAAATTTTAAATACTGTATATGCAAAGTACGTAATACATGTAGTGAACAGGGATTTAATAATGCTAAAATAACAATTGGTATTAATTTAGTGGCATAAAGTAAATTAGCTACATACGTATATGTTTTAAACGCTTGATCACGAAACGACAAAAATGTCAAGTTCGCCGATCAAGATTCATACTGTAAAATTAAATACATATACTTGGAATAAAGAGGTACCGGTAGATCTTAGACTAACCGGATATTTGCGCTACGGGACACGTTTCTCGGAGTAATAAAAGCCCGGCCAGTTTGCCAAGGAATCAATGAATGAATTCATCTCCTTATTTTCTTCCACTACATATTACGTACACGTGTACAATTTGATTATGTAAATATTTTATTAACAAATGGATGGATCGGAAAGCAATAAGATAAATACTCGGCGAATTATATAAAGTTGTGTTTTTAAATTGTAAAAATTTTGGATTTTTGGATTAATTAGAAAATTCTATAAATAAAAATGTCTAATATAACACCACCATCAATAGAAGACGATATAAAGTCAGGTAATATAAGTAATGATAGTAGTTGTGAAGACGCAACAAAAGTTTCAACAAGAACACATTCACTAGAAATTAAATCCGACGACAACAGAAACGATGACACAATTTTTTCAATAAAAATTGTCAATAACGATAATGATAATAATAATCAAGAAAAAGCGGAAATACCATCTTCTTCACAGTCCCATGCACCTGATCTCGGTGAAAAAGTAAATGATCAAACAATCCAGCTACCATTTAATCGACTAATTCTCGTGTTTATGGGACTATCATTAGCCATATTCTTATCGGCACTTGATCAAATGATTGTTACTACTGCATTGCCAAAAATTGCATCAGACTTTCATGCGTTATCTGAGATTTCGTGGGTGGGAACAGCATATCTCTTGACATCAACAGCATTCCAACCACTCTATGGAAAATTTTCGGATATTTTCGGTCGTAAATCCACTTTTCTCTTTGCGATTTTTACATTTGTTGTCGGATCAGCATTATGTGGTGCTTCGCTAAATATGCCAATGTTAATTGTCAGTCGAGCGATTGCCGGTATAGGCGGAGGTGGAATTATGTCATCAGTATTGATTATTGTTTCTGATATTCTCCCGTTAAGAGAACGTGGGAAATATCAGGGAATTATCGGCGGGACTGTTGCCATTTCGTCAGTTATTGGACCTTTAATCGGAGGTGTATTCACTGATCATCTTTCTTGGAGGTGGGCATTCTATATTAATTTACCAACCGCTACATTAACAATCATAATTGTTATTACGTTGTTACACTTGCCACATGTTTATGGATCATTTAAAGAGAAATTAAAGCGTATAGATTATATCGGAACGACATTACTTGTCGCATCAATTGTCGCTATTTTATTACCACTCAATTGGGGTGGAAACACTTATCCATGGGATTCAGCAACCGTAATTTCATTATTTTGTGTTGGTGCAGTTCTCACTTGTGCATTTATTTTCGTCGAATTCCGAATCGCTGTTGAGCCAGTTATTCCACAACGATTATTCAAGATCAGAAATCCAGTCCTAGTTTATATTACAAGTTTCTTTATCGGAATGGCATTTTACGGCTTTATTTATTATTTGCCACTATATTTTCAAGCTGTTCGAGGATACTCGGCAACCAAGGCTGGTCTACAATTAATCCCATTAATACTTGGTCTCGTGATTTTCTCGATTGTATCCGGATTTGCAACAACAGCAACAGGTCTTTACCGTCCTTGGATTGTATTTGGATACGGACTAACAACAATCGCCGCCGGATTATTAAGTACACTAAATGCGAGTTCGAATCGTGGAGAAGAAATCGGGTATAGTTTAATGGCTGGCGCTGGACTCGGATGCTCACTGCAAACTATATTACTATCAGCACAAGCTTCCGTAGAATATAAAGATATCGCCGTAGTAACTTCACTCTCAAGTTTTTTCCGAACGATTGGCGGTGTTTTCGGTGTCGCTATTTGCGGCTCAATTTTCAATAACAAACTCTCGTCATATCTGCTTGATATTTTGCCTACAAACATTCCGCTCGAAAAAGTGAAAAATTCCGTGGAATATATTCAAACTTTATCTCCTGATGTCCAAGAACCTATTATTGATGCTTATGTGCATGCGTTACATTACGTTTTTCTTTTTGCGATACCGATGGCTGGTGTTGCTACTATTCATAGTTTCTTTATTAAGCATATTCCGTTACGAAAAACATTGGGTCCTGCTATAACTGAATAAGAGAATATTTTTTGCATATACAGCATACAGATAACATTCGATTGTATTTCATAAAATTAATTAATTAATTATTGATATATTTAAGTTAGTTTAGCTAAAAATTTCAACTTTTACCGAGTATCGGTATATTTAATTTTTCAAACTACATGTAGCATGAAAAGTTTCAAAAGAAGAAGAAAACTACCATTAACGTTAATATCAAAAAGAACAACAAATATAAAAAGAAGTCCGATTCTCTAAAGCATCGGTATTAGATTCATTAACGTTAACGTTAATATTTACAAATATTTATCGTTATACTCATATTCAGAAAATATTTACCGTGACGGAGCTTGTACTCGTTTCAAATCAGTATATGGTGGTATTCCGATATTCTGCCAATCTAGCACTTCTAATTGGTCATTTGTCAATGGTCTTGTTTCGCCAGTGGCTGTGATGCGAGCTGTAGAAAGTTTGTTTTCGGCGTCGGGAAGAGTACCCGTTTTGAAATTGATGTCTGTTACACGACGAATAAATTCGGCGGCGTTTTGACGTGAGACTTTTGCAGGTTCGCAAAAGTGCCATAGCTAATATATTATATTTGCTTATTGCATTATTGCTTACACGTAAATAGAAACAAAAATAAAATCGATTTTGATAGATTTACCTGCCAAACATGTGGCATATCATCGAAAACTTCTAGTTGTACATTTGTAGGTATTTTGAGTGAACTTGATCTTTCACTATTCGCATCATTATAATTAGGTAATTGATATTTCGTAGTATGCGAAGCTTTGTGTGCAAAGTAAATTATTTCGTCGCGTAATCTTTCACCATTTCCTGCTTGCTATTACGAAGAGAAAAACAATTAATTAATTATTGACTATGATGTGTAAATGTACAAATAACTTACCAACAGTAACGGTGGTAATCCACTTAAGTCTTCAGCCAACAACGGGCTAACATACGGAATTGCCAAAGCTTCATTAGCAGCATACATATTAACTCGTTCCTCTACTATTCCATAACTAGGATGACAATGGATTTTCGGATTCAACTCTTTAAAGCTTTTAATTTTTGCATCCAACACCGCAGCACGATTCTCGTATTTATCGCTAAGAGGCGATGGTTTATGTGCAAACAAATATCCGGGAAGATAATCGTTCACGTTAGATTCGTCTTTTGTTACTGATGGCGTACTGAATGTTAAATCGAGCCACGGTGAAAATCCGATAACGCCGGCTGGCATTGGTAGACCAATGTCACGTATTGCGAGTAATGTCGCAATCGCGAGGCCGCCACCTGCACTCTCACCAGCCAAAACTATTTGGTTTGGTTTGAATGGTTTGTAGTCGGAGTTTGTGGGTGGGTATAAAAGGTACATGTATGCAGCTAATGCATCATGAATTGCGGATGGGAATTCCGTTTGTGGCGCCATACGATAATCGATCGCTATTTATTTTATCGCATTAAATTAGAAATAATGATAAATATAATAATGCGAATAATATTGACACATACCAAGTATTCGAGCACCGGAAGATTCTGCAAGTCTATAAGTAAAACCCCTGATTGATGCAGAACTACCCAAATAATAAACGCCACCATGTAAATAAAGAATAACACGCTGTCTCGTTCCTTCATCGAAGAATTTATCCTTCTTAATCGAAACCCATTCAGCTTTCAATCCACCATCATTATTACCAAGAAACTTCCACGACTCATCGATAACTTGTTCATACGGTGCTAATAATTTTTCTAAATAAGTCTGCGCTTTTTCTCTGTATATGTTTGGAAGCTTGAATTCGTCGATACGAACATACGACGGAGTTGGATTTGGTCGCATTGAAGCCTCTTGCAATTGTTCGATTGTTTTTCTTTGAAAATCGGGAATTAAGGATTTCAGTACCACGAAAATTAGGTGGAATTTTAGGCTCCATGATGGTTTTGGTGGACCATTACGGTAGTGGATAATTAATGTCTCTGTGATTAATGGGATTCTCACTACGATGTCTCTCAACAAGGCTGCCGTCATTGTTTGGTATTCATTTATTGAAAGAGTTAAAACCAACTTTTTATGCTAATTAAAATTCGGAATATGGAAAATATTTGATCCTTTTTTTTTGAGAAGATTATTTTTCACATGCAGAAAATTAATTAAGCACACTAGAGATTTGTTTACTAACGCTAATTAACGTGTTAAAGTTGTCTATTAATAAACCTGTCAAAAGTTGATACTACATTAAAACTCGTCAAAAGACAAAACTATATTAAAATCTTATCAATGAATCCATCGAAGCATACGTAGAAGGTTTTTACTTCACATTTTATTTGTTGTCATGTACAGCGCAATATCGGAGACACCAAATTTGTTCATTGAAAATTGAAGTGTCAATGTTTTCACATGGAAATATTTAAATTTTTTCATAACTTCATTCAAGAATACAAAACAATATAGCTCAAAAAGTTTGAATGCTCATTCTAAGCTCTCCGAAAAAATCACGTTTATCGTTACCGTTACGTTCAGTCTAACCTTAATCCGTAATATCAAATTAACGTTAATTACGTGATATGGTGCATAACATCTAAAGTCATCAAACATTTATATTTTATAAAATGGATAAACCTCTTTACTAAGAAGTAAATACAAAATTTAATCCGTAAATATGATAGAATAGGCCCTTTCTGAGCATATTCACGGATTAAATTTACTTCTTAGTAAAGAAGTTTTCCTTTATTCTCTGGTTTACGATTATCTTTTGGCATCATGCATGCAGTAGTCTTACCGTCAACCATTAGTGAACGTGGTAATTTACAAGATTGTGATGGTGACGACGCTTGTGTCGGAAATGGTGATTGCTCGTGCTTTTTGGTCTGTTACGGATTGCATAGTTCGGTTAGGCTTTGACATAAAATAGAAGAGATGTGTTTGACATTATCAAATTTAGTAGATCTCTTCTGAAGGACGTTGTAAACATTTCTCGTCTTGCTTCTTCCGTAAATACCAGCCCAGTGAATAGTTTTTGCTTTAATATGTGCCAAAGTGGCTGATTCTTTATAACATATACTGGTACAAATTAAAAATAATTTCAATTTTGATCGTGTGCTAAAAAAATGTGTCCCGTTTGGTACAAAAGTAGAGGTTGAAATCGATTATCAAACTGGAAATAGAAAGCAGAAATTATTAGTGGCAACACAATATTCAAAGTAACTAACAAATGTACGCCTAATGAATCTTTAAGAGCATCATTTCATCAATTAATGTCGATGTGAATCGAGACGTTTTTTTTTTTTTGGTTCACTAGATTCTTCGAGTCGAAAATAATCTACAGATGTCGCGGGAATTTGTAAATAGCTGGTTGCTACAGATGGCGGCCTAAGTTATGCGGACACTTTATAAAGTAAACTAACACAAAATCTAATGAAAAAATCTTATTCCATGAATTAGAATTTTATTTTTATGGAGCATTTTTTTACATAATCTAATAATAAATTAGTACTTGATTCGACCACCATTAGCAAAAATAACATCTGAATTTGATTTGGCATTAAATTTTATAAAATAGAATGGTCACTTTTGGACGCAATAGCTTGGTATCCAAGGATCAATTCAAATGAAATACCACCATTCAATCTGTCTGGAAAGATGAATCAAATGGTGATATTTACGCTCAAAAAGTTCACTGGATACTAAGATACTGCGATCAAAGTAAAAGGTTATCTTTAAAAAAATGATACAGTCACTTTGAGTCGGAATATCTTGGCGTCCAGTGAACTGTTTTGAACGTAAATACCACCATTTGGTATTTCATTTGAACTTGTTTCCTGGATACCAAGATATCGTGTCCAAAAGTGACTGTTTTATTTTATAAAAATTTAACGTCTAATCGAATTCATGATGTTATTCTTGCTAATGGTGATCGAATAAAGCACTAATCTATTAATATACAGTCGTGGCCAAAAGTATTGTTACAGGTTAGTGACCGATTATAGGAATTAGCTGCTAATCTGTAACTTGGGTGGGAGAAACGGATTAAACTAAAGTTATTTTATTTATTAGTTTTCCAAGGTTCTGTGCCAATATCTTCGGATATTGTTGTATTCAATT